ATCTGTTTGAGTCATGTCTGAAACTTCATGCCAATTTTTAAATCAATATGCTTCATCGTATTACGAATATTGGGCATTCTAAATTTATAAGCTTTCTGTTTTCTTTTAAGCAATGGAGTTTCGAACAACGACGCGATGTGTTTACTGAAAAAAAACAAAAGGCGTTGAGCAGCTCGAAGAATGAACTGATCGAAGGTTTGCCTTCAGAGTTCAAAATAATCTACGACAACCTGAAACTGTTGCAATACTATGATACACCGAATTACATGTTGTACTACGGAGCATTCCAAAGTATAATGATGCGAAACGGTTACAACGATAAGTCTCCTTTGGACTGGGAGCCGGAAGGCGAATATCACAAACAAACTATGATGGCACCGATGCACACAATGATGTTCGGCGAGCGGCATTCAAGCGAAGATTAACTTTGTTCGGACGGAATTCCTTTCTCAGATTCACATTATCTACTAATTATGGTATATCGACGAACGAAGTTATGAAATATTCGAATAACGCAAGCGAGTGACTAACTCATTGTACTCTTTCATACAAAGTGACTCAAAAAAATGACGTGTTTGCTGGGATTTGTTCCAGATTCAGGGAATCAACAGGGCCACAACGACATAAAGACTACTACTGTTATGTTTTAACTGAAATTAGATTTCCCAACCTTCAGGATGATTGTTTTTCATATGGCGTTCGATTTTCCTTGAAATCAAATTTTACTCTGTTGCAAATGTCAGAGGGGCCTTATGCAGTTTGGAAAAATGCACGGATTCTTGAATTGCTCAATAATCATTTTCTGTTCGACTCGACAGTTTGTTCACTTCGCAAATTCCACTGATATATCGTTAGTGAATGACAGTTGTCTTCTAATTGACCTGAATACTTATACTGACTTGTCTGAAAGAAATAATTTGAAGGTGACATTGTATCTGGATCTATTCCATATGTTTCAGCAGAACTTAGTTCATGAGCAATTAAGACACCGAGTATAATCACATGGAAACCGTTTCAACTCGACATCACACCAAAATTATATATCACTGACCAATCTTCAAATTTTTTTTTTAAAACTCACGTAGTCTTTCATACTTCACCAATCGATTATGGCTCAACGCCAGTCACTCAGCTCTAATGACTTCCTATCATTTCCTGTTCCGAAGACCGACTTGCCAGACAGTGTCGCCAGCGTCTTCGATCTGGTTGCCGTGTTTAAGTTTCGAGAGAAGATGGTCTAAGTCTTGAGCAGAATCCTTCCATCACTTGTTCCAAGTGATTCTCAACCGTCCTCAGGGTCTTCTGCCAGTCCGTTGAACAAGAAATAGCCATTTATCCTTCCTTTATTGAAACATTCATAAAACCTGCCAAAATCATCGCAGACGCAACTTCTCAATCTGTAGAAGCAATGGCTGCAAACCAAGGCTTTCTTTGTTACCTGAACACCGATCATGTCGAGAGGCTTTAGCCAAGCAATTTGTCTGAGAAAGCTGATTTCAACCACTTACGCTCGAGATCGAAATTTTTCAGTGACGGTGATGAAGACTGACTTGAACACAGAGAGCTTAGTCTTCAGACTCAGTTCTACCTCAATCAGAACGGCTTGGAATATTTCACGTAAAACGCCGTTGGCCACTCCAATTCACCGCTCGGTCACTTCCTCCCATTTTGCATGATCCCTAAATACGAATTCGAGTTACATGAATTTTTCCACTGTCTTTCTGTTTATTTACACAGCGCAGAGGGGGAGAACTAAAATGGGCTTGGTTCTGGTTTCAGACACGTTCGCACGCATGCTGGCCAGTCGCACTCGGCTACGAATGTTGCCAGAGGGCGCTGGAGATCCATTTTGAATATTTTAAGGAATCGATTACAGACATCAGCCACTTTGTCTCGACATCTCCTACGCTGATGCACTCGTTGCTTTGGCTACATCAGCTTTTTGTCCATGTACAATACAAACCAAAGAGGGAAATCCTCTGGCGGAGAATAGTCCCCACACTAAAGGTGTCGATTTTAAACCATTTATTCTAAAGCTGTGCGTCCTATCAAGATATTGTAACTGATTCGCTTGATCAACTGGCTATAGATCCCTTGCGTTTGCAGGTACACCCATAGCTTGTTGCGCGGGATCGAGTCATAAACTTTCTCCTGATTCACAGACCACAGGTAAATCGGGCGAATGAACATCGACGATTTCTCAGTAATATGATGCAAGGCAAAGTTTTGGCCAGAGGTGGTTCCGTCTAATCTGAGGTCACGCTGCTCTCCTTGAATCTCAGAGTCAATTATTTGGCACCATCTCTTTTCTGATAAATTTACTTGAATTTTCCTCAGCTGGGGACTCATAAAAGTAATGTCCTGATAATGGGAACACTCGATATGGTTCCCCTTCTTAAATAGGGATATCACTGATCTGGTTCCTTCATCTACCGGTGTACTGCCAATATTTATTGCAGTTGGACAAACGCATATTAGCCACAATGTACTCTATTGGCTTAATGCCTGATGCATCTCAGAGCATTTTTCAACTGTTCCAGCTACTTCTCTACATTTCAAGGTTTTTACAGTTTCTATGAAAAGACATGCAGATGTGAAATATCTGCGAGTGCTGCTTTTCAGGACAGTTGCTCAGGGTTAAGAAGTTCCTCAAAGTACTCCCGCAATTGCCGAAGTATATCGTCTTTCTTGGGAAGCTAGCGTATGGACTTGTCCTGCAGGCTTTTAGAGTGTCTTTCTTTCTATCTCAAAGGCAGTCTGGAAATTCGACTTAACCACCTCACCGAAATGATCTAAGGAATTAGCTGTCTCCTTAGTTACTGATTTCGATACAACTTTATGTGCCAGTTGGTACTGCATTCGAGTTGAATTCTCTTTTGAGAATTCCAAGCCGTCTTTTGATTGCAGGCTTCTTCTCTCTAAAAGCCAGTTGAAACTTTTGTCTCCACCAGGAAGCTCGTTTCTGACTTAAATCACAACCCAAATTAGCCGTTGTTATGAACCTTCCACTCAGTTTCGGTGTAAAGTCACTGAGATCTGCTTAAACCTTCATGCCGTGTTATTTTCAAGTTTCGGTCTCATATGAGTAGAAGATAATGTTTACCGTTTTATCTCCCGACTGCATCTGGTGCCAGGGTTTCGCACGGTACTCTATCGTTTACAATGGAAGCTACCGACAACAAGTTGGTGATCGGTTGATAGCTCTGCGCCTCTCTTAACCCGAACATTCATTACTGAGCGTCTTAGGTCAGACGATACGATTATCAAATCAATCATCGACTTCTGCGCACAAGCTTCCCGGTACCAGGTGTACTGATGCACTTTTCGATGCTCGAAGAAGG